CGTAGTCCAGCAAGAGCTCGATGAGCAACGACACCACCACCGAGACACCCGCCCTCTGCCACTCATCCGCCAGCCTCAGCTTTCGTTCGAGCTTTCGGCAGGCTCACCAGAGCATGAAGCAACGCTCCGCAGGTCAGACTTTTCGGCTCGTGGGTACCGCGACTTCAACATGGTGCATGGGCGTGAATAATTTGCATTAGTGAGGGTGTATGGGAAATGGCACAAAAAGTTAATTTTTGCATTGACTGAGGTTAATATGATCAACATTATTTTCTTTTAGGGACAAGTTTGTAAATTCCAATAAATAATATTGTACTGGCATAACTTAGTACGTCTTTTGAAAAAAAACATAATTAATTTTTTCAAACCAAATAAATTTATAATTCGAAAAAGTTTTAGATCTTCATGTTAGTTAATTGAGTGATAATTAAGATATAATAATTTTTCTCAACTAACAATTAATTTGTTCAACCAATTTCAACTAATTGATATTTGCTCAACTAATTTTTTATCTACTTTACATCAACCAAATTGATGTCAATCTGCTATATATATGTCACTTTTGCTGCAAAGTAAAAAAACACAAGAGAAAACAAACGGCAAAAAGAAGAGAAAAAGAGAGAAAAGAAAGAAAAAGAGAAAGGAAAGAAAAGAAAAATATATGTCCAAATATCGGATATAAAAATATCAAAAGAGAAAAAACAAGTGATATTTTTATTTGTTTAAGAATATTTTTTTTATTACTAAGTGCTCAATTCTCGATTCCGTTCCCGTTCGCCGGAGCTTGTAAATCTGGTGTGCTACAGATTTAGAGACGTTTTCCGTTGTATCTTTGGGAAGTTACGCCTGAACCGTTAGCTGCCACACGGGGCGTATTCTTCTTGCAGAAAGAGTTTTACTCGCCTCGGCTAAAATCTTTCCGTTTTTCAGTTGTATTTATTTTTCAGTTCAATTGTAATTTTCTATTTTTAGATTATTTGTAAGAACTGAAAATTACATATCAGTTCGTAGGATTCCCGTGTAATTTCACACAAAATATCCAACAATCGCAAGAAGAATATCAGTCATCCTACTGAACTGATGGCATCTACCGGAGCAGGTTCCAGCTCTCAGCATCCGATCAATCATGTACCTGCTGTCCATGTTCCTACATCTGAAAAGCCCGAAAAATTAAACGGGCTTGACTTTAAGAGATGGCAACAAAAGATGCATTTTTACCAGACCACTTTGGGTTTGGTGAAATATCTGAAGGACGACCCTCCGATCATTGCTGAAAATGAGACCAATGCTGAACTACGCGCTGCGTATGATGCTTGGGGGCAAGGTGACTACCTTTGCCGGAACTATGTCCTGAGTGGACTTAGTAACGAGTTGTACAATGTGTACAACTCCGTTGGTTCTGCCAAGGAGCTTTGGGCTGCCTTGGAGAATAAATACAAGACCGAGGATGCCGGGGCGAAGAAATTCGTCGTCGGCAAATTTCTTGATTTCAAGATGGTTGACACAAAGACTGTTGTGTCACAAGTGCAAGAGTTCCAGCTAATCTTGCACGATATTCATGCTGAAGGAATGACCTTGAGCGAGTCATTCCAAGTAGCGGCTGTGATCGAGAAGCTGCCGCCAGGCTGCAAGGACTTCAAGAATTATCTCAAACACAAAAGAAAGGAGATGAGTCTTGAAGACTTGGTGGTTCGTCTTCGTATCGAGGAGGACAACCAGAAGTCATCAGGAAAAGTCCCAATGATGGAAGCTCGTGCCAACTTGCTGGAGCAAGGCAACTCGAGCAAGAGGAAGACCCAGAATAAGGGAAAGCAACCAGCCAAAACTTGGAAGTTTACTGACAAGTGCTACAATTGTGAAAAGCCTAATCATATGGCTAAAGATTGTAGAAAGCCCAAAAATGCTAGGCAAAAGAAAGGGCAACCGAGTGCCCTTGTTGCGGAACACGGCCCTGTGCCGGGTGAATTGACCTACTTTGATATGTCGGCTGTAGTGTTTGAAGCCAATTTGGTGGATAACCCAAGGGAGTGGTACATTGATACTGGTGCCACTCGTCATGTGTGTTCCTACAAGGAGGTGTTCTCTGAATACACTCCTGCTACGGGTCGAAAACTACACATGGGAAACTCCTCCACGTCTGATGTGGCTGGAGTGGGCACAGTGGTGTTGAAGCTCACTTCTGGAAGGGAGTTGAAGCTGAAGGATGTTCTGCATTTTCCAGACATCCGCAAGAATTTGGTCTCCGGATCTGTTCTTGTTGAGCATGGATTTAGGCTGGTATTTGGTGATAAGAAGTTTATTCTTAGCAAGTTTGGAAAATTCCTTGGTCGTGGTTATCTCGACAAGGGTTTGTTCAAAATGAATGTAATGGCCGTGAGCCGTGTAACCGTTAATAATAAAAAGTCTATTTCTGTTTATACCGTTGAGTGTTCTGATATGTGGCATATTAGATTGGGACATGTAAATCTAAATGCAATTAAACGGTTGATGAAATTAGAATTAATTCCTAATTCTAAAGTTGAAACAAATACAAAATGTGAAATTTGTATTGAAGCAAAAATGGCTAAGTTGCCTTTTCATTCGGTGGAAAGGAGTACTGAACCATTAGGCTTGATCATACTGATGTATGTGATATGAAAAGTGTGCAAACAAGAACCGGTAAAAAGTATTTTGTAACTTTTATCGATGATTGCACAAGGTTTTGCTACTTAGAAGCAAAGATGAGGTTGTGGAAGCATTTAAGATATATAAGACGAAGTTGAAAATCAACTCGGCAAAAGGATTAAAATAATCCGAAGTGATAGGGGTGATGTATCTCCTTTTGAACAAATATGTTCTGAATATGGCATAATTCATCAAACGACGGCCCCTTATTCTCCACAGTCGAACGGTGTTGCTGAACGCAAAAATCGAACTTTAAAAGAAATGATGAATGACATGTTGATTAATTCAGGATTACCACAGAACATGTGGGGGGAAGCTGTTTTAACAGCAAATCACATCCTGAACAAAATACCACCTAAAGGTAAAGATGAGACTCCTTACGAAATGTGGAAAAATCGTAAGCCGTCTTATAAATACTTGAAAGTGTGTTTGGCTAAGGTTTCAGTACCTGATCCCAAACAAGTGAGAATCGGACCAAAGACGGTCGATTGTGTATTTATTGGATATGCGTACAATAGTACATCGTATAGATTTCTGGTTCATAAATCAGAAAATCCAGAGGTATCCGTTGGTACCACGATTGAGTCAAGGAATGCTATATTCTTTGAGAATGTTTTTCCTATGAAGGAAAGGGCAGAATCTAGTTCTAATAAAAGAACGTATGAAACTGCTAGTGGTTCTATACCAAAGGGTACTGATGAGAAACCAAGACGTAGTAAAAGGGTTAAAACGGCGAAAACGTTTGGACCTGGCTTTATTACGTACATGTTGGACGATGAACCGAGTTCCATTAAGGAAGCTTTGTCCAGCCCAGATGGACCACTCTGGGAAGAAGCTGTAAATAGCGAAATTGAGTCCATTATGCAGAACCATACTTGGGAGTTGGTTGATCTCCCTGATGGTTGTAAACCTTTAGGATGCAAGTGGATCCTAAAGAATAAATATAAAGCTGATGAATCGATTGATAAGTTTAAAGCACGGTTGGTGGTCAAAGGCTTTAAACAAAAAGAAGGGTATGATTTCTTTGATACCTATTCACCTGTTATGCGTTTAGCGTCGATAAGAGTGCTTCTCTCGATTGCTGCTTTGCACAATCTTGAGATTCACCAAATGGATGTCAAGACAGCATTTTTGAATGGTAAATTGGAAGAAGAAATATACATAGAACAACCTGAAGGGTTTGTTGCACCTGGACAAGAGAGAAAGATGTGTAGATTGATCAAATCCTTGTACGGACTGAAACAAGCTCCTAAACAATGGCATTTGAAATTTGATGATGTGATGTTGTCAAATGAGTTCAAAATCAACGAATGTGACAAACGTGTTTATGTCAAGGGTACATCAAATACATTTGTGATTGTATGTCTATATGTAGACGATATATTGATCATGGGGAGTAGCCATGAAGAGATCATGGATACAAAAAGAATGTTGAAAAGAAATTTCGACATGAAAGATATGGGTTTGGCTGATGTTATTCTTGGAATAAGGATTGTCAGAACCCAAGATAGAATTGTCTTGTCACAATCTCATTATGTAGAGAAAGTGCTCAAGAAATTTGATGTCTATAACGGTGCACAGTCTAGGCATATGTGTAAGACACCCCTTGATCTCAGTATAAATTTGGTAGCCAATAAAGGTCAACCAATGGCTCAGTTGGAATATTCACGGATAATAGGGAGTCTGATGTACTTGACAAATTGTGCAAGACCAGACTTGGCCTATCCGGTGAATAAGTTGAGCAGATTTACAAGCAATCCCAATCATGATCACTGGAATGCTTTGAGAAGGGTACTTAAGTACTTGAGATAGACCCTTGAATACGGGCTAAAATACTCGAAATATCCAGCCGTACTTGAAGGGTATTGTGATGCAAACTGGATATCAGATTCGAGAGATTCTCGCTCCACTAGCGGATATGTTTTCTGTATTGGAGGAGGTGCAGTTTCGTGGAAATACACAAAACAAACGTGTATAGCTCGGTCAACGATGGAATCAGAATTCATCGCTTTAGATAAAGCTGGTGAAGAAGCCGAGTGGCTTAGAAATTTTTTATCCGATATTCCATGTTGGGATAAGACTTTGCCGCCTGTGATGATTCACTGTGATAGCCAAGCTGCTATAGGTAGGGCGCAAAGTAACTTGTATAACGGTAAGTCTAGACATATTCGTCGTAGACATAATACCATACGCCAATTGATCACAAATGGTATTATTTCCATTGACTATGTGAAGTCTAAGGAAAATTTGGCTGATCCTTGACGAAAGGATTGAATAGAAATCAATTGGGAGTTTTGCTAGAGGGAATGGGCTTAAAAATCTACAATGTAAAGAATGATCATAGTGGTAACCCTACCATGCTGAGTGGAGATCCCACGAACATGGTTCAAAGGGAAAACTAAGCTATGAAAATTCAATTGAGCACTTGGAACAAATGAATGTCCAAAACTATTCCCTAGAGCACCCAAGTGCAAGATGACCTGTTGATTGTGGTAAGGGTAAGTCATATGGACTTTTAATGAATCCCTAACCTTGTAAAGGTGGAGTATAACATGATACTCTTGATAGGGAGGTCACCTATATAAGTGTGAAGTGTGGGCCGCTTCAAATATAAACACTTATGAATCTATTGTGTTGTCCATGGCCAAAACGGACACAACGATAGAACGAAATGGAGTTAAGACTATATTGTGTGAATGTCATTGTCTCGGTGTACACTATGGAGGAATAGTTCAAGGCATTATGTCCACTAGGCCACCAGTACATCCGATGATGTTTACTAAGAGAGGTTCAAAGCCAAAAGCTACCTTTTCTGATGCAATAGAGTTTTGTGAGGATTGAGCACAAGAGTATGATTATATCTTATTAACACTCATGTGGGGGATTGTTAGTTAATTGAGTGATAATTAAGATATAATAATTTTTCTCAACTAACAATTAATTTGTTCAACCAATTTCAACTAATTGGTATTTGCTCAACTAATTTTTATCTACTTTACATCAACCAAATTGATGTCCATCTGCTATATATATGTCACTTTTGCTGCAAAGAAAAAAAAACACAAGAGAAAACACACGACAAAAAGAAGAGAAAAAGAGAGAAAAGAAAGAAAAAGAGAAAGAAAAGAAAAGAAAAATATATGTCCAAATATCGGATATAAAAATATCAAAAGAGAAAAAACAAGTGATATTTTTATTTGTTTAAGAATATTCTTTTTATTACTAAGTGCTCAATTCTCGATTCCGTTCCCGTTCGCCGGAGCTCGTAAATCTGGTGTGCTACAGACTTAGAGACGTTTGCCATTGTATCTTTGGGGAAGTTACGCCTGAACCGTTAGCTGCCACACGGGGCGTATTCTTCTTGCGGAAAGAGTTTTACTCGCCTCGGCTAAAATCTTTCCGTTTTTCAGTTGCATTTTATTATTCAGTTCAATTGTAATTTTCTATTTTTAGATTATTTGTAAGAACTGAAAATTACATATCAGTTCGTAGGATTCCCGTGTAATTTCACACAAAATATCCAACACTTCATAGATCTGAGTTGTTATTTCCCGATTTGAACCAAAATACTATAACTTAGTAAAACGATTTTGTATAATAGGGTGGATTTTGCTTTTTTGATCTCTCATCACCTCAAATAAAAGAAATTCAGGTGTTCCTTCAGTGGACTTTTGAAAAACGTTAAAGAATAGCCGATTAAACATATACTTCATCTAAATTCTCGATGAATTTTGCCTGTGCTCGAGGTAGAAGTTTTGCTTTTTATCAAGATATGAATGAGAAAAAGTTCTTACCACCAGTAGCAAATGCTTTGAAAAAGTAATCGCCCCAACTTTAGAAGCGAAGTGAAGGCACACAGCAGAAAGATTCTAAATATGATAAGTCCCCCTTTGATTCGAGTTGAGACCTGGCCCTTGTTTCTTGTTCTCTGATCCATTTTCTTTCCTTATCATCGTTCCATATGTACCTTTTGCAGAGATTGAAAGGAATGCCCTTGGAGTATGCTAGGCTCTTCCCGGGATGTCGCGCTGCGAGCTGTTTGCTTTCAATTGAGTTTTGTGGTTCTATCGTAACTAAAGATTCTTCTGTTCTGTTAAAAGATTAGGAGTAAGGGCACTTGCTGTTGCCGCAGAAATTCCTGGAATTGGTTTCCCATTTCCATAAAGGATATAATTGAACACTGATTAAGATTCAACATGGTAGCCTTTGAAAATATGTTTCTTACGTGTAACTGCCTATCATGCCAAGCTTGACGCGGTTGCTCTAGCACGCGAAGAACGCTAGTCAAGATATGCGACGTTAACACCGAGGGCTACAAGATACTGATGGCTGAAGAATAATGTATGGTTTGAAACGAAAAGAATATGAAAGAGAGAGACGGAGAGGCCCGACATGAGACGATAGAAATGGCTACTCATAAGCCAATTTTAGGGTTTGATATCCTTTTATATGGGGCACGTGGCAATTTCTAACTTATGGGCCACGTGGTAATTTCGACATATGCATGAACGGTTATTTTTATAAATACAATAGCTGAAGTCTGAAGATGTTTTGCGAATTTTGTTTTGACCGTATATAAAATTGGGCTGATTTTTTTAATGGGCTCGATTTTGAAGTACAATCCCATTGACAGAATGAATTCAAATTCGCTGTACAGTCTAACACGAGTTATTTTATTTTATTTTTAAAAGCAGCCAGCTATGTAAATACATACTATCAATTAAGTTTCTAACAACGGTCAAATATTCATTCTTTTAAGTTTTAGGCTGAGCATTTTTAAATAGTTGGCTCAAAAAAATTAATGCAATATAAAGTACAAAAATATATATTAAAAAAAAAAACTTTTATCTATTTATAGTAATGTAATGCAAATAAAACTTCAATCCTTTAAACAAGTATAAACATTAGACATATGAGTTCAACACATAATATAGGGATTGTTATATTACAAACTTTCATGTTTTAATACTTGCCCCATATTACTTTGTGACAACTTTTAAATATATTAATTTTGACACTATCAAAATTTATACATGTTGTATATGAAATATTTAAAAATAAATTGCAGTGCATATTTTTACCATATCAATTTAATTACTGTAGGTGAGTTATCTAATTTATCTACGATAACACCTTGTTTCCAAAGACTGA